CTTCCCATCTGCATGTGATGAGGCTGATGAGCACAGTCAGCTGGCAGCAGCTTCTCCTGTGCGTGCGTGGGTCTCCTTCCCTGCACCCGGGGAGGGAGCGCCACCCAGGCCACTCCTGGATGCACAGGCAGGGAGTGGGCAGGCAGGCAGGCACCCTGCATGACCCTCTTCGACTTCCAGTTCCTGAGGTCAGATCAGCATTATGTAGTTTCCTGTTCTTAGTCCTCAAGAGGACCTCGAACAAGACAATTATTAATAAAAACAAAACTAGACAAACAAACTCTTACTGTTTATTAAGGGTCTACTCTGAACCAGTATTTACACCTGCTTTATTTTGATTTATCTTACTTAATTCCCCAAACATCCATATTTTCCACGTTAGAGATGAGGAAGCAGACTTGAAGAGTGTAAGTCGCCTGCTGAGTTCCCACGTGCGGGAAGGGGCAGAGCCAGAGAACCCAGTTCCTGGCGGCCCCAGGCCTCACCCTCTCCAGCTCTGCCCCACACTAGTTTCAGGCCACAGAGACCAACCATTATCACTCTGAGGAATCCTCATTTATTTAACTTGATTCTTCTCTTTGATGCTCTTGGTTTTCTCCAAATGTCCCACGGTCCCTGGCTGTCCTTCCCATCTGCATGTGATGAGGCTGATGAGCACAGTCAGCTGGCAGCAGCTTCTCCTGTGCGTGCGTGGGTCTCCTTCCCTGCACCCGGGGAGGGAGCGCCACCCAGGCCACTCCTGGATGCACAGGCAGGGAGTGGGCAGGCAGGCAGGCACCCTGCATGACCCTCTTCGACTTCCAGTTCCTGAGGTCAGATCAGCATTATGTAGTTTCCTGTTCTTAGTCCTCAAGAGGACCTCGAACAAGACAATTATTAATAAAAACAAAACTAGACAAACAAACTCTTACTGTTTATTAAGGGTCTACTCTGAACCAGTATTTACACCTGCTTTATTTTGATTTATCTTACTTAATTCCCCAAACATCCATATTTTCCACGTTAGAGATGAGGAAGCAGACTTGAAGAGTGTAAGGCGCCTGCTGAGTTCCCACGTGCGGGAAGGGGCAGAGCCAGAGAACCCAGTTCCTGGCGGCCCCAGGCCTCACCCTCTCCAGCTCTGCCCCACACTAGTTTCAGGCCACAGAGACCAACCATTATCACTCTGAGGAATCCACAGTCGCTACAAACTGCCCCCCACCTTATCCCCTCCATGCTGTGTGTTTTATAAATTCATAGTATAAGGAATTATACGCAGTGTAATCTCCACGTCTGATCTTGCTCAGAAACAGCCTCCTGTCGGTATGTGCGGCCCTCTGTGAGCCCATAGTAACACGGCCGGGGAGGGGGGTGTGCTGGGCAGCCCAGTGTTCTGGTTGGCAAAGAGCCCCCAGGGAAGACCTTACTAGAAAGGACTGAGACCCCTTGTGTAACCATGTGTAACAGCACTCTGGCTTCAGCCTTTTCAACCCCACAGGCCTTCTGATTTTCCCAACATGAGAGGGCAAAAATCCACGTGGCATGGCAGACACAGCTGGTTTGCTCCTCACACTGGCAGCGGCAATGCCACCTGCAGCCGCTCTGGCTCAGAGGCTGGTCACAGGCGAGCTTCCCAGCCAGCCCACAGCACCAGGCCTGATTCTGCCCTTCGGCCAAAGGCCCCAGAGCTCCTGGAGAAAACCAGCCATTAAGAGGCCCAAACACATCCCCCCACCCCAGAACAGTCAGCCCCCACCCCAGCCAGGGACAAACCCTAGATACCCCATCTCTGTTATAGGCCATGTTCCAGAAACTTCCTGCTCAGCAACAAATAGCTGAGGAGTTAATGCAGAAAAGAGGGCCCAGTGGGCTTTACCACGACTTGAAGCTGCCAAAATAACCCCTATGATCATTATGCAGTGCCCTTTCTCCTTCTGCAGCTGTGAACACCCTAAAATCAGTGTGCGTATTGACTGACTGAGAATCCCAGCAGCCTTGGGAGGTAAGCAGACATGGAGCATTACCCCCATCTTACAGATAAGCAAACTGAGGCTCAGAAGTGAATATATTAGTCAAATTCTTCCAAGGGCATAAAAGAGTAGCCCTTAGGAAATTGATTTTCTTTACTGGTTCTATTTTTAAATTTAAATTACACTTTGATCCAGAAAGTTGCTGGAAGCACCATCAGAAGTGTAATGGCTGCTTGATAGAGAAAATCTTGCTCCAAAAAAGATCTGAGTGGCTCCAACACCTTCAAAATGTGCTGGGGCTTGAGATGAGCTTGGTCAAGCTTTCTAGTTCCTCTTGGTGGGTCTCAAATCTTCCCTACCACTCCCTGGGGGCCGAGGGGCCCCAGTTCTAGTTGCACGAGGGCTCCAGGCCTCTTCCCAACACTTCCTGCTCACAGGACTTGGGCCTCTTCAGAAGGCCTCTCCCCAGACAGGAGCAGAGCAGAGAATTCACAGAGACAGGCAGAGGTGCAGAGGTGCAAAGCAGGGTTCAGCTGCAAAGTTCCCTTTGCCTTAAAAACTCTGCAAATGGGGAAAATGCTCCCCCTCAACCTGGAGTGGAGGAAATCCCTCTGAGGATTCCCCAGGAGAAAGCAGGCAAGAAGAGACCCTGGTTCTGGGCAGTGGGAGGCTAATGGGACAGCCTAGTAACGAGTTCCCAGTCGGCAGAGTGGCGCCTGTGCTTCTGCTGCCCAGTGGCCCTCTCCCCACGTTCCCCCATCATCCTGCCCACCCGTCACCCTGCCCTTCCCATGCTCCACTGTCCACTCTATTTATGGATGGGTGGAATGTGAAATCACCTATTCTGAGAAGATGGAATGTGTTAGCTGCAGCCAGGGACAGCAATGAATTCTACAAATAGCTTCCTAGAAGCCGTCATTCCAGTCCACAAATCAGGCTCCAAACAACCCTGATTCTATATCCCTGAGAAGGCCAGTTTCTCATTCCAGGCAAAACCGTTTGTCTTGGGCCTAATCTTGTTCATGCAGTGGGGAAGGTTCAGACTGAGCCTGGATTTCCTGATTTGCCTCAAATTTCAGGGCAGAGAGACCCTTCTTCACATGTGTCCACTTTGAAAGGGCCCACATGTCCTGCTGGAATGCCAGAACCACGGATCGTCACAGCCTGTATGCCAGCCCAGCACGTCCAACTCTTCACTCCGAAGACAAGGAAATCAAGGCTTAGTCTTACCCAAAGCCACGGCCCAGAGAGCAGGAGACTATTTCAAAATGAAAGTCCATGGTTTTCATTTGCAGCAAATCATTTTTTCTCCTAAATTTCAGCAAATCATTTTCAAACACACATGACCAGGATTTTTACAATAGCTACACCTAGCATGGAAATCAATCGAAATACATAAAATTTGAAAAATACCCTGCTATATAGTATAAAAATTCATTGTTACTTATAGGTATTATTTTTAATATAAACTGCTTCTTCCCTATACATTTGTACAAAAACCATTAAAACCAGACACAAGGCTGTGTTACGGCCTCAAGGGAGGGTATGGCACACAGAACACAAAGGTGTCAAGTTCCTGGCTCTTGAAACTCATAGCAGAGACAATTTTCTGTAAACTAAGTCTTTCAATTTGCAGAAGACAGGCTTTTGAAAAATAATTGATTTCTAAAGCTCTTAAATCTTGGCTTTTAAGAGCAAGGAATAGAGTGATGGAGTCCATGAAATTCAGAGCATAGGCCGCTGAGGTGTGGAGGATGCACGGGAAGTTAAGAGCTTGCTTTCCCTCCCAGTAGGAGAGCGAGTCGCTTGGCTGGGAGGAGAGGGGAGAGGCACTGGGAGGTAATAGTCAGCTCCATTGCTGGTGTTCCTCTTCTGGAAGTGGCCTTATGACCCCTTTCCTTGGAGGAGATGGTCAAAACCCCATAAAAGTTGGTGGGTTCCCGGAAAAGATGTGACCTGTGCTGTGGGAGAGGGGCTGCGAGCCTGCTGGATCAGAGAGGCCCTGAGTCTAGGCCAGGGTGGGAGTGTGACACTCTGTGCTGCGTATCCCCCACCTGGCTCATGACTCCCAAATTCCACAGATAGTAACTCACCCACGTGGGCCACGTCTACTTCCTTGTGGAGGGATTGTGGGCTAGGTACCCATCTGTGCCTCAGGGTCCTCTTCTGAAAAATGGGGTAATCGTGGCCCTTAGCTCACTGGGCAGTTATGAGGACCAAGTGGGGTGGTACATGGAAATCCTTAGCATGGAGCCTGCCACAGAGACACTGTCCGAACAGCACAGCTCTCGTTACCACTGCGAACAATGACACACTGGCTTAGAAATCAACTCATTAAATAAGCAGAACCGAGGTACTCCTGCAGGCAGGCTAATTAAATCGTCTAAGTCATCATCATCTTTTCAATAACTGCCAGTTAGAGTCCGGATGTGAGGGCTTGTGTGGTTTGTGATCATGGTCAGTGGAATCTCAGAATAATTCTCTCAAGTCCACAGGCCAAAAAATGAAACACATTTTGTGACAACTTCACTCCTCTTTGCAGAGGGAAGGCTGGGTGTGTGTGTGTGAGATTCATAAACCGAGAGAGGTGCCGTGGGTAGTCCTAAAGGGGCAAAACCCCAAGCTCTTCTAATAGCTAGAAAACTGTGTGCAAGGGGGCCCCACCTCTCGGAAGCCTGTGCACAGGGGCTTGTGTGTGTGTGTGTGTGTGTGTGTGTGTGTGTGTGTGCGTGTCCCTCCCTCCCTGCAGCCCCAGCAATCTGAGGAGCTTCAAGCAGTGCAGAACCCACTGTCCTGCAGGACACAACCCCCAGCAGCAGAGAAGCTGAGCGTGCAGCCAGCGCAGCTCAGCACTCTGAAATGTAACACGGCCATCCCAACTCTCATACCATAAAGGACCTGCAGCGGGGACTGTATCTCTTTTTGCTCTTGGAGAGGGTGTCATGCACATGCACATACCACGGGTGACAGTTACGAGGGACGTAGAGGTCTGGGCCTCAGGTTTTACACTGTGCTTCCTAGAGCTCAGGTCTTCTGAGCAGCAGCAGGAGCCCAGCCCTGCTGGGCTGTATGGGGGCACCAACCCACTTATGTCTCCCACTGCTGAGGATCAGCCAGGGCCACAGCTACCGACCAGCAGGGGCAGAAGACCAAGGAGTGGACTTTTGAAAAGAGGCAGCGTGGCTGCTCGGTGCCGTGGGCAGGCTCAGGAGGTCGGGTGTGGGCTGGGCTCACTGCTGCTGTGTGGCCTCAGGTAGGCCACTCATCCTCTCAGAACTAAGCGTGGCGTGACTGTCTGCAACATGACTCCTACTATGCAGGACTACCTTAAGGACTGAGAGAAACGGTACTGGGGGACAGTGCGGGCAGCCTGTAGTGCTACCCTTTATGGAGCGGCAGCCCTTAAGCAATGGAAAGAGAGCAGCCTCTAGAACAGCACCCCCATAAACTGGCCCCACTTGGCCCCAGCATGAAGGAGACCCAGATCCCTGTGGCTGAAATGGGAACATGACCAGCTGTTCACAGAAGGGCTCCTGCGGGTGATTTTAGAGCAGGATGGAGGCCGTGGGTACCCCTGGGATTTTCCCGGCTCAGCCCTCCTCCTCAGAGTGCATTGAAGTTGTGACATGCAGATGACGTCACGGAGAGTTGTGGTGACCTAGGCTGAGGACCCTCTGCCTCCAGTCTCCGGCCACCCTGTGGTCACCCAGCATCTGGCCCTGCTGGCTACCCTTGGGTGTGGACTCATCACCTTCCCTGGGAGGACCACATAAACTCATGCACAGGGACTGGACTCATCACTCCTGTGGCCCCGGTGAGTGGGCCCACCAAGGGCTGGGCACTGGGGAGGGCATCAATGAGACCACCTATATATATTGCTTTAACCAAGTGGAGATGGCATCAGCCTTCTAGCCAATGGCTCAGTGATAGTCTTGTAATCCAAAGGCCGTGGCTGGGCCCACGCAGATCTCACGCCCTCTATATTGAACCTGCAGCCCCAGGAGCACAGTTTTTCCACCAGTAAACAGAAGGACAGCAGCCAGGTGATGGCAGCAATGTGTGTGCAGGTGCAGGTGTGGAAATGTCACTGCCCACGCTGGCATGGGCCTCATGCCTGCCTGGTGCCTGCTGGCTCCTGTTATGCTGACGGTGGGCTCTGCCTACTGCTAATTGAATTTACGATGCCCCACTGTCAGTAGCAGCCTCTGGTGTGATATAGACTTGACTGGTCCTGAGCAGCTGTTGTTAAGTAGTTTGCATGTGAATAGATGGGGATCTGGATGACGCAGTCACAGGTGGCCAGCCTGCACTAGACGTTCACCCAGAACATTTGCGGGAATAGTCTTCTAGATACCTGAGCACTCCAGTTAACACATATCCCCAGATGGCCTATCAAGCTTTGAAGAGAGAAAATAAATAAGCCTACTTAGCATGGAATGAAACCGGATGCGACAGTCTTTCTTCAGGTATAGGAGGCACACCACGCTCTAGTAGAAACTTAGAACCAGCAGTAAAATTCCAAATTCAGTTGTAAAAGAATGTTAGAAATAAATCCTCCAGCTATTTAGGTTTAAATGGCCAGAAGGGGTTTCTAATCGTTTATTTCAGACTCAGCAGTCCCTTTTTTGTGCTTGTCTGAAATCCCCCTTGTGCTCCTGAGGCCTTGCAAATGGCACCCCTGGCTGCATCCTGACCTGTGGGAGGAAGCATTGCAACTGTGTGGCGCCCAGCGAGGGCAGGTGTCCAGGCCTCTTGGGAAACCCCAGCAAGGGAGGCATTTATCTTTTAGGGGGAAGAATTTCAAGGCCTTTCAAAGAAGCAGTGGGGCCTGTCCCGAGGAGCCTTCAGGGTCATGGAGGACAGTTATACATGACTCACAACCCAGATGCTGTCTGAAGCAAAGGGCTGAGGGGGCCCTGATGTAAGAAGCCTTCATCATTAAAATATAGCCTTGCCAGACAGATGTGGGGGGGAGGGTTTATTTACATTGCAAATAATTCTTAGTTACCAAAGATTGAATTACAAATATATGATACATGTCTACTGTGTGCCGGGCTCTGGGCCACACTAGCTACAGCCCTCTGGGCACCCTGGGTACTCCCAGGTAGGGCCCTGAACCTGGGATGGGGTCTGGAAGGGCCTTGGAGAGGAGGTACCTGGAGGCATGCAGGATTTGAGAGGGAGAAGCATGGTGTGGACAGCCTTGGTGGCTAAGGTCAGGCCCTGGGCCCGAGGTCTGGCCGCCTCGATGGGGAGGCGCTAGGCCAGGAAGGACCAGCTGGGGACCCCTCAGCAAATTTCCAGAGACTTTCCAACCTTTCCCTGGGGTGCAAACAGGTGCCAGACAGGTCAATGGGGGAATCTGTTGATGGGAAAATAGTGGTAACTGAGCAGTAGGAGACCAGAAACTACTTTGTGAGCAGCAATGCAAGGTTCAGCACCAGACTAGAAACCTACAGGGAAGGGGAGCAAAGGACCCTCCAGAGTGGGCACGGGCACCGCCACCCCGGGCCCCCTGCTGGCCTGCCAGGCAGGGCTTCTCAGGTGCACACGGTCTTTTCCAAAAGGTACCTCCAGAAGCTTCCTCTTGGACTTTTATTAGGACGCTGGGCACTCAAATGAGACCCTCTCGGCCACACCATGTAGCCTGTAATAGTCCATCCTAAAGTGCACACACTCACAGCTGAGCTAATAAAGGGGCACTTAATCCCCTTTTCAATTTCAGGTCAGTTTTACAGTCCAGGGTGAGAGGGGCCCAGAGCTCAGCTAACGCAGCATCAGCCCTGGAATCTGAGAAGCCCGCGGAGCTGGGGCATGCTGGGAGCTGGTGACAGGCTCGGGCAGGGACTGGCAAGCTGCCGGCAGGTCAGTGTGGCCAGATCAGGTCACCAGCAAGGTGGCCGGGGAGGGAAGGGCGAGTACTTGAGATGGCTGTGATTGGCCTCAGACAGGGGCTAAGAAAGCAAATGAATCGTTTTGGGGTTTTTCACTGTCTTCTAGCTGGTGCTCTCCTGACCCCCTGCCCTGCCCCATCAGGGCTCCCTGTTCGCTGGGTCTCCTCCAGGTTGGGTGCCCTGAGGCAGGGGCGGGTGGCTCTCCCCCGTCTCCCGGCTGGATCCTCAGGACCTGCTCCCAGGATATGCCTGTGAGTAATCATACAGATAACGAACTGGCAGTAAAATGTCACAGGAACCTGGGCGGGAGCCAGGGAACCGATTTCTGGCTGTGTTTGGCCTTTTGCTATTTTGAATGCAGTTTAGAAGGTGCCAATTTCATCTGAGGCGTCAAGCTCTGACATCATCCCTTGTTAAGCAAAAGTGATCTTCCCTTAGACTGCCTGCCCTCAAGAGCTGTGCCTCCTCTCCCCAAACCACAGCCTGTCTCATTGCCCCTCGTCTCCCGAGGGTGCCCTTCTGAAGATCTGCCTCCTCCAGCCTCACTCCCCCGCACTCCAGCCCCCAAAGGACGGGGCGGAAGTAGGTGACGCACGCACTGGAACACCCACAGTGAGGTCCCTGAAGGAAAAGTGTTCTAGGATCGCCATGGCCCCTGGCCTTCCTGAGGCCTTGCCCACCTTTGTCTCCTCCGTCCCCCTCGTGCTGCGGGCCATGTGGGGCAGAGGCAGTAAGCCAGGGCCAGCTCGTGCTGTGGTGGCCAGCAGCTGCGGCCTGGCACTGTGCTCCCTCAGCACCAGCCAGCTGTGGTGTCAGCTCAGCCTGGCAAAGAGCCACCTTCCGCCTGCCTGGCCCACCTGCTGCCCTCTGCCTTGTCCTCCTGTCTCGGGGCAACTTGGATGCTTGCAGGAGTTTCCCATGGCCGCCCGAGATGATTGCTACAGACTTGGTGACTTAAAACAGCACACACAAAATGGGTTTTACTGGGCTAACATTAAGGTGTTGGCACTTCTGTCTTCCTCTTTCACTTGTCAGGACCCTTATGGTCACATTGGCCCACCTGGATCATCTCCCCATCTCAAAAGCCTTCACTTAACCACAGGGCAAAGTTCCCTTCGCCATGTAAGGTTTTGGGGATCCTAATCAATACCTTTGCAAGGGCCACCATTCTGCCTGCCCCACTGCTCAGTTCAGCCCATCAGCTCCAGCACTAACCGGTAAGGGTTGGTCAGAGGAATCATGCTATATATATGTCATTTCCTCAAAGGCTCAAATAGCCAGGGCTGGACTCGGGCAGCAAAGGAGGCCCCACGATGGAGGATGGGGGGTCTTGCCCCCACCAGTACCTCCAGGCCATGCCCAGACACCTTGGGGTCACTAGGGAGGTTGTGCCTGTCCAGCGGGTGCTTCCTCCCTTCTTAGGACAAGCCTGCAGCAGGGTGATGGATTTGCAAATGCTTTCAAGCCTTTTTTTCAAATGAAAGAATCTCATTATTTTCAACGAAATATTACAAAATAACACACACCCTAAAGACAAGTTGGAATGTAAAGAAATGCACCAAAAAAGACATAAATCTCCTTTGATCCCAGCACCCAAGTGAACATCTGGCTTCAGTTGCACATATGGAAATTCTCAAGGGAGGATCATCCCACACAGGCCCGCTGATCTGTAACCTTTTTGCTCTTAACCTGTTGTCGGTGCTTCTTTGTGTTACATATGCTCTTCTATCTGGAACAATGCAGGATTTTGTCCTTCCCTCTCCCATGGAACTCTTAGGCCCTGGTGGCCATTCCCTGAGCTTTTCCCACTGACACAAGCAGTTCCACCCCCGAAGCTTTCATGCATTGCTCTGGTGGTTTGGGACGGGTTCCTGGCCATGAAGAAGCCAGGTCAGAAAGTGCATAGTAAATCCAAGAAGGTACGGACCACATCTAGTTTTTCACAGTGTGTCCCCTGTATAAAATACTATGGATCTTTGATGACTGACTGACTAGGACACGATAAATACAGGTTGTGATGAATCTCAAAACTGTTCAGCTGAGAGAAAGATGCCAGACAAAGCCAGTACATACCATATGATTACGCTTAGAAGAGGGTTAGAAAAGGTGGAACTAATCTCTAATGATAGAAATCAGATTAGCAACTGCCCAGGTGGGTGAAGCGAGAGACTTGGAAAGGAGAACGGGGGCGGGGGGAGAGGGGGAGTTTATGGGGTGAAGGCCACGTTCTGCATCTTGACTGGCATAGAAATACGGCTGTGATGTACTGGTCAGAATTTTCTGAATTTAGCCACTTGTTAACAGTAATTATAGTGCTTTGATTCTTACAGATTTAGAGCGCATTTTAATGAATGAAAGTCCCCCCACCCCAGCCTGTTCTGTCCCCTATTCTGTCTGCATTTTACTATTCTTTGGCTTGATGAAACTCTTATCTGGGACCCTTGCCCTCTCTGCTCCTCTCTGGCCCTGGCTTCTAGACCCCCACAGCGCATTCCCTGAAGAACTGGAGTGAGCAGGACAGATATAGAAGAACTCCTCTGACCCTCTGGGCTGCTGGGTCGCAGATTCAAAACTGCCCCTGGCCGCCACAGAGCCTACATCCAGAGCTCCCGCCTGTAGCAAGGCCCCTATGCCCTCTGCTGTCTAAACCCTGTGAGGTAGGTTCCGCAAACGGATTTCCTGCCGTTCACAGGACACCCTGTCCTACCAGTGGGTGCAGGCTCAGGAGGCTTCCTACCACTTCTGGGGGGCTTAGGGGAGACCCACATTCTCCCTTCCTCTTCATGTCTGCTTACCGATATCACACACACCGAGTACCATCTTCTCTCACCCTGTTTTTTTTTTCAAACTACAAAGGAGAACTTTGGGTGATTCCCCCACTACAAGCACCTAGCTGTTCCCTGACCTTTTAAAAGCTACTTTATGGTGAGACAGAAAGAACCCATTGTTTAATTCAGAGCTGGCTCCAAGAGCTGACCTTAGCACATGGAAATGTGTTTTGGTCCAATGATCCCCATTTTGCAGAATCGAAATCTGAAAATATTCTCGCTTCCAACCGCAAGTTTAAAAACATAAACGTTACTATTAGTGTCTCTTAGAGTTTGTTTTTCAGACAATAAAAACTTTTTGCAATAAACCAGCTTTCATTCTTTGTGAACAATCTTTAAACTCACTAAGTCTGATAGGCTGGGAAAGGAGACCAGAGAGGGCAATAACATCCCAGCAGGAAAGTTCCTGTTCATATGGCTACAGCTTGAAGGAAATAAGATGCCACACATTTAAAAAGTAAACTCCTCTTTACATCACCCACGTATGTTCAGTAGGAATAAAAGTAAGCTCAAAGAAGGGGCTGTATTTTCAAAATCCACCCCGATTTGAGGCATTTTTAAGAGAAGCAATGCATTTACCCTTCAAAAACAATAAATAAAGTTCTGGAGTAACTGAAAAGACTCTTCATCTCTTTGGAGACGGCAGGTCCCATTCTCTGTTGTGTTTCCCAATTATCACCATGAGTAACACTCCCTAACCAGGGAGTTTAATTGCCATTGTACCTTGGCAACATTTTGTTTTCTCCTAAGGCAAAATTTGGGGAATTAAATCTTCGGGAATAAAACTGTTCAATCACAATAACACAGTTGTGTATTAACGTTTTTCTCTCCCTGGAGTTTATAAATCTCAAAATTCTGCTCTGAACAAGAAGCCAATTTTAGAAATGAGTTAAATGACTCAGAGTGAGAACAGCAGATTGACTTTCTCTGGGCCCTTGGACCGGAGGTGGGTCTGAACCGTGGTTCCTGACCTCTCCTTGCTCTGATGCATTTTCCAAGGAGGCATTCACGTTCCAAGCACGCAGTGCTCGCTTCTTTCCAGAGCTTTCTAATAACTAGATGGAGCCATTGTGTCTAGGTGAAAACCATGCTTACTTCCGGCCCTTTATCTGTTATTTTGAGATTTTACGGTTGATGACAACAGTTCTTCATGTTTGCATACTACTCTAATTGAGAAGCGTCCTGTTTTCTGTCATCTGCTGTTCCCTGCTCGGCAGCAGCTGGTGCTCTCAGTGGGTCCCCTGCCTGCACTTGAGCTCCCGTCTCTTTCCTCTTTCAGCAGCTGTCTTCTGTCTCCAGGTTCTCATTTCTGTTCTCTGACCGAGCATCTGCAGAGCTCCCAGACCTTCAGGTTCACACACCTCGGCCAAAGCTCTTAGGTCTCTCTGGCAGGGTTACTGCTCGCGCTCCTAAATGTCCTCTTTCACTCCAAAGTGTTCCCTGAAATTTCCGAGGCTTGAATGTGTGTCCATGACAGCCGTGAGGACATCTAAGGGGCTGGCCAAGGCCTTCTGGTTCAGCCAAATTTCTGTAAGACCATGGTTCTAAGTCAGGCAGAATTGCCTCCTAGCATTTTTTCTAGAAATTACTGGAGTATTTTTGGTGGTACTGACTGGGGTATGGTGGGCAGGAGAGGGGCTGTTACTATGGAGGGGTCAAGGATGAGGGATGCACACAATCTGCAGTGCATAGATAGTTCTTCACAACAACCAGTTGTCCTATGTCCCCATTTTTTGGAATATCTCATTGGATAGCCATGTAGGTGAAAACGCATTTATGCCTATCCAAGCTGAGACCTAACTCTGTTTATACATAAATGCAAAGTACCTTGTACATGGTTTTGATATATTAAATATATGTTTAATATGTTTATGACTACCTTGAAAACCGAGGCAAGAGTATGCATTGGTTCATTTGGAGCTTTATCAAAAGCTGTTCGCCGTGATCTCACCGCCAATGGCAACACACTCTTGGCAGCCCAAGTTGCCAGTTCTGGCCGCGCAGCAGTTACATTTGTCCTGGTAGCTTTCATGGCAACGTCTGGCTGCCTCACTGTGAATTCTGTTGTGGTCCTGCATGAGCACCACCTTGAAATATGCCTTATCTTACTACAAATTACTTTCTTTGTATTTCTCGTTTGGTTTTCAATGAGGGCATCCCACTTCGAAATGATATGTGTGAGCAGATCATGTTATCTATGATTTTCATTTCACAGTGATCGAGGGGGCATTACAAATAATTTGTTATGAAAAGTGGGCCCGCGATGGGATAATTAGGGAGTGCCGCTTGAAGACTTGGCCGCGGAGCCCAGTCACCCCTCCTGAGAGATGGCGGGGGAAGCCTGTGCTCGCTCCTTCGGTGTGTATCGGTGTGTTAGTCCCCACTCACCCAGCACACTTGCCTGAGGCCCTCTGGGTGGGAATGGGGGGCTCACTGCCTGCTCAGTCGGGGCTCCTCTGATGGGTCCAGGCGCGAGGCCTCTGGGCCTGCTGCGTGCTTCCACGTAACGCAGCTCCAGCCCTCCCCCACCAGCACTGGACAGTGCTGCCCCTCGGGAGCGGGACAAAGGGGGGTGGGAGGGGCTACGGACAGGAGGTGGGCCAGGGGTCGGCGGCCGCTCTGGGACCTTTACACGCTCTTCTGCCTGGGCAGTTCCTGCCACGTCCTCTTCTCTTTTTCTCAGCAGCTATTTCTTAGCCCTACTAGTTACTTTATATCTTAAACTCCTTATTTCACATTTTTATTTTAACTCCACTAATTTCTATGCTTTTAGCCTATCTCCTTTGTTAATTCTTAATTTTGCTAGAGGGTAGGAGGTGTTCTGGGAAGCCCCTGACCTCCAGCACCACGTCTCCTTCAGGGCACACACAGGCTTGGGGAGGTCGCTGGGAAGCCGTGTCTGCCAGCTGACCCGTGAACTGGACTCCAGCAACCAGAGGCTCCTGCCCCTCGCCTGTCCTTGTGCCCTGTCTGCTCACCTTCCCTGCTCCCAGAGGTGGCCCCGAGGACACCCCGAGTGAGGTGGTGTTGAGACCGTCTGGACGGTACTCATGGCTGAGCCCCACCAAGGGCTCTGTATACACTTTAAAGATTCTGCCAGGTGGGTGTGCAGATCAGCTCATCTTGCTTATTAATCTGCCACCTACCCACCTGGGGTGGCCTGCCTCTTTCTTCCATCTCTCCCTGTCCTCGTGTAGGGGGGCTGGTGTTGGGTTCCACCCAGGAAGCTCCTGAGGAGCCTATGAACCAACAATCAGGCATTGGGGGTCACCTACGACAGCCCCCTCAGTCTCCCATTCCTCCAGAGACCCCGAAATCTCCACCCTCGCTGAGGGCCTTCTTCCACCTGCCCATGACCATGCCTTCCCCCAGGTCCGGCTGCTCAGGGAAGCCTCCCCAAGCACTGCAGCCTGTAGGGGGCTGCACAGCCCTGCACTCCCATGGCCGGCCGGCCACAGCTAGTCTTTAAATCTGCCGTTTCCCTTTCACCTCCCTGCTCTTTCTTTTAAAACAACAGCATTTAGCATCCATATAGGAGGCCAAGTGGGGCTGTTCCCAGTCCTCCAGCGGTGTACTTGGCACTCTGGCCAGGACGACACTTGGGCTGTGGAATAAGTGGCATCTCAGAGCCGGGAGGCCATAGACCATGGGACTGAGCTGCCCTTGCTAGCCTGGTCCACCTGCAATCACATGCCGAGGGGTGCCTACAATGAGGGCTGCCTACACCCTGCTCCTCTCCCCGACTTTTCATCAGCGCTACCAGCTCTGTGCAGGCCTCTCACTGCTGAGAGCACCTCACACTGAGCTAACGATAGTTTTCTCATGGTGGAGTTAATTCACAGACAGTGGTACAGAGGGCATTAAATTAATACTCACCACTTTGCAATAACTCACCAATCTTCCTGCTGAT